CATTATAGTCGCACTTGTGGTCGGACAAATATCGTCCTCGTAAGCCTACGTATTTGAACCGAGTGCAAACGGGATTCGATTGGAACAAGTACAACCAGACGCATTATGATATGGATAATCCTCCACCGAAAATCGTTCAAGGGTATAAGTTCAACGTAAGTTATGATCCCTATATACTAGTTTTCTATGAGTTCACAATTTTGATCTTTTTATTCTTAACGTTCCTTTTAATTTCATCGAACTTAATAACCTTAAATCATATATGTAAATCATGGGAGCTGTTCAGTCTCAGATTTGTCGAACATTCGGATTGAAAAATCGTATATTTTTGCCGTTATCCTGGTTTTTTAGGTCGTTGTACAAACTTAGTTTTTTCATTTGCAGATTTTCTATCCTGACTTATTGGATCCTTCGAATACTCCTTCGTTCACTGTCACTCCGTGCGACGACCCTGATTTTGCTGTCATACGATTCAAAGTAAGCTACATATTTTTAGTGTCTAGCCCTCTATTACATTTAATTAATTATTTTTATGTGCACTGCTGAAAGATTCTTTGTACTTCTGAGTATGCAAACTGAATAGGGTATTTGAGAGTTCATATACTAGATAGTGTATCTAATTGATGGCGAATTTAGGCGGGGCCTCCATATGAAGACATCGCTTTCAAGTGCGTAAATCGTGAATGGGAAGTGAGCCATAAGCATGGCTATAAATGCCAATTTCAAAACGGTGTATTTCAATTGTGGTTTGTGTTCAAACGATATCGTTATCGACGATAGCAGTTTCTTTTCTTGTTTGTTGTTATTGTTATACTCACGGAAAACTGGTATCTATGTTTTATAGCAGTTATTGTGCATATTTCTGTAAATTTCTGTGCTCGTTTGAATTAGAATTGGAGATTCGTCTAAATAATAAAGAGTGCCGATTGAACTTGGAACTTCTGTGAAGTCTGTAACGCTCAATATCTTCTCACCAGTTTTTCCGGAGTTATGATGCATTTTTTTGCTCTAGCACGCTTGGTTTCAGATGTCTCTTAAGGATGATATTTTGCGTTTGTTGTTCACTGTAAACAACACTGGCTTCCTCTTAATGAGTACAGCAATTTTTCTTCTGGATGCCATTATAACGTTTGTCATCATCAAGAAAGTTCCATGTAAGCTTGGCGATTTTCATAGCTATAGCTTGTTTTGACGCATTCGCGTTGACAATTCAAGTTTTTAAGTATATGACTCATGAAAATAGGGAAATTGTTTTTCTGTACACATGAAGTAGAATAAAAAATCGATATAGGGCTCCGATGTAGGTTGTTCAGAGAGCTCGGCAGGACCTTAGCTTAGACATTGGCTGAGATCTTGTCCTATGTAGAGGTTGAGTGCTAGATTTGTTTTGATTGTTGTTTAGTCAATGTGGAGCCTGAACTTCTTTTGAATTGACGAGAGCACTGGACTGAAAGTCTATCATCTTGCCTCCCGAAACTCGAAATTTTTTAGCATTCACAGCTCATGAGTCTTAGAAAACTGGCAATCAATAGTGATTGACTATGCTCCTCAAGTGAACGTATTGTCATAAAAATTAGGGTTTTCAGACACAGAAATCGATTGGTCGACCTATATGCAACAGGTGGAGTGTTTCACGGTAAAAAATATACGCAACTATTCTGAAATTGGAGGTGATACCGGACCAGTGGTGTGAGTTTATGAAAACGTAATTTGTCTGAGGCGATCTATGCATGATGATCGTGCTAGAGTTTCTAAAGACTAAAGTGGAGATGCATTCTTTCTTTCTTCTGGATTTTTACTAGAGTCCTAATATTTTCTTTATTTTTTTATTCGTTGTATTGTTTCCATACTTCTGTCTGCAATAGCATTTCGCGGCAGGTGTGTTTGTAAGGTCTGCCTGAGCCACGATTATTGTAATTTTTAAAATGGATTGAGATACTTTTTCTTAAGTTATCCAGCTGGACACATTTGGGTCTACAGCGTCTTTCATGCTCTAACGAGTGCTGGCAAAGATATTCGTACGGCGCAGTACATATTTATGGGTCTCTATCTCATTAACCTCTTGGCTGTTCTTCGCTTGTATTACAAGTCAAGCAGGGTACGTTTCTACTGTTATGGATGTTTTCCTGATTGTTTAGCGTCATCAAAACCATCATATTCAAGATTGCCCCATTCGTCTTGGTATTCTTATGTTTCACTGGGTATCGAATTCACTCGATTTTTGTTTTACGTCTATTCAATGATCCAGTTGCTATGATGTTCTTCTATTTGGCTGTCAACTTCTTCATATCTCAGCAGTGGTTGATAGGTTGCATACTCTACAGGTAGGTGAAGTGACTACCCAGTTCATCACTTCGATTTAATTCCACTACCTTAAGCTTTGCCGTTGCCATCAAGATGAACGTGCTACTCTTTGCACCGGCATTGTTCTTTATTCTTCTA